AAGCTTTAAATCCAGGATGATTACAATTTTATAGAAAAGGTTTCATAACCAAAACCTACCAGTAATTGGAGGAATAATTTTCTTATTAAATTAAAAAAAAAAAACTGTCTAGCCATCATTAGTAGCATTCATAATTTTTTTCATTATTGCCCTTTATCCTGTATGATCTTTACACTAGACTAGAACAGAAAATGAAATGACCTTTCTGGTTTCTCTAGTTTTAAAAAATACATAGCCTCATAGTTTTGTGGAAAACGAAGATTCTTGTTTTGCACATGCCTTAGAAAATATCATCACCGTTTATTATTCTATTATACTTGCTACTTTTGAGAATAGATAGCACTTATCTGCAGCTCTAGAAGTACTTTACAACAGATAGGTGTTTACCTATTTTACTTATGTATAAACTAAGGCAAAAGCTAAGTGATCATCCCATAGTGATACAGTCTTTTGTGGTATAGTAGGGAATAGAGTCATTTTAAAACCATTATATGGCATTCACTCTTGATGCTACTCCTTCTCTCTCTTCCTTGTAAACTGTTTGAAGAAAATGTGAAGGATTCAACTTCTTCAACCTGGTCTAATATTATAAAATATGCTGCCATAAGATACCACAGAAGCAGGGATAATTCAAGTGTTGCCCTTTTGCTCTGTTTAGTAACTGGATAACGAGCTTCAATAAGAACATGTCTGTCTGTAGATTAAATTAAACCCTATACCACACAATATAATATGGATAATATAGTTCCAAGATTTAAAACATTTAAGAATAATCACTTGGTTGCATCTGCTGAACCGACCTATGGGACAGTTAGCACAAGTGAAATAATGATAGCCATAATGTAAAATTATATATTTCAAATGTTACTATGTGCAGTGCAGCAGCATGCTTTAAACAAGCAAAGGAAGTGGAGTAATATTTTAGTATTTCTTGCCAGGTTACAATATCTAACCCTAAACTATACAAAAAGGCTTTTAGACTAACATGTGCTCACCATAAGAACTGGACAAACTTGACTGTGGGCACTTCCTGTGGCTAATCTAGTGAATGGGTTTACTGGCAGGAAGATTCACAGAAAAAGCACATTTTAAGCAAATATTGGAGAGTGCTTGGAGAAGGGATTTTAACAACTCTCTAGCTCAGCCCCCAGAAGTCCGCATCATGACAGGAGCTCCATTAGCACTCTGCAGTACACAGGTATGTGAAGGCATTCTGTTGATATACAACAATAAGAATAGGAGGAAACTGCCCGGACATAGATGGGTTCAAAATAACTGTGTTTATTAACTATATCTGACCATACAAGGCCAAGCTACATTTATATACTGACACTCTGTCAGGGTTCTGTTGGATTCTCCAGTAGAAGAGAGGGAGGCACACAAGAGTACTCAAAGAGAGAGAGGCACTGACCAGAGAAGAGGCACTGCAGGGTTTAAATTTTGCAGAAGACCTTGCACAGGTCAGTTAGATCCCCGAGTGACTTGTATACACCATGCTTATTGGTAACCGCACAACCTCTGGGATGTGCGGACTCTAATCCTAATTACAAAAATGATTTCTTTCTATCCTTCTTTCATGGCCCCCAGCTGAGGCTGCTTTCTCCAATCAGCCCCGCTTTTCCTTCCCCACCACAGCCCTCTCCCCGGGCTGTTTTAAGCTTTTAAGGCAGGAGCGGGTGACCACCCCGCTACACACACCCCATCTCAAGATCCCCTCCACTGGGGGAGGGGTATATGTTCCTATCTCCCCAGCTTCCCTCTCAGCTGGGCCTGCAGGAGGTCTCTCTCCTGCCGCAGGTTTTCTATTAAGAGGAGCAACCTGCTTCCCTCTTCTGCAGGCTGGGTCTCCATCGTAGCCGGTCCCATTCCTGCATGGGTTCCCCTGTCCGTCTGGGTCCCCACCGTAGGTCATCCTGCTCCCGCGTGGGTTCCACTTTTTGTCTGGGGCCTTTCTGCCCCGGACAATCTCTCTTCTGGGCCCCTGGTCTTCCCCACCCCCCTCTTTTGGGGTAGTCTCAGACCAAGCCCTATCCTCTGGCCTCCCCCTCTTTCTCTGGGGCAAGGCCGTCTTTCACGGCCGCCCTTGTGGCACAGGAAGCACAGACAGTGCCTTCCTTTGGCCACCTCTGGGTGAGGCCTGGTCCTGTGAGGGCACTCCCTCTTCTTGTGCCCCAGCTCCCCACAGGCCCAACAAGTTTGGAGCCCCCCTGTTAACTTCACAGGGGGCACTCGAGTCTCTCCATCATGTCCCGGGCGGAGCCTCTTTGAGATGGGGCACTCCCTTTTCAAGTGTCCCTGTCGCCCACAGGCGAAACAGTCTTTAGGCCCCAGCACTGGCCTCCAGCCCAAGGTGCCTGGCCCCACATTGAGGTCCAGATACCTTCCCCCACAGCAGCCCCGCCTGCTGCTCGGTGAGCCGGGCCACACAGGCTCTCCAATAATAGTCCCTCATTCCATCCTGCGTCTCCACCTTCAGTTCCTTCACTCGATCTGGGCAACTGTCCCACAGTACTTGCCCTGGCCCCTTGTATCAGGGGTGGACCCATGTGCCAGCATTCTCCACGATGATGTAATGGGGCGGGACTCACCCCTGCGGTGCCTCCTGCTGGTCGTCTCAGGGAATTAGCGTTTCCAGCCTCAGAAGTGCCCCCTGCAGACCAGTGTCCTGCTGCCGCTGGCCCCCCATGTCCCTCTCAGGACCTGGTGCCCCTTTTATGTGGGGTGCTGCCCCCTGGCAATACCTCCACACTCTGCCTCTGGGTCTCCCCTCTCTGGGGCA